AATGGAGGTGAATCATAGTGAGGCTGAAGGTGTTGCTCACAGTAAGAAGCCAGACAGACCAGACAGGACTTGACAGCCTTCCTCTTCCTCCCAGTGCAGACATCACAGGCCACATCTTCAGCTCCAGCATAGCAGTGATCAGCAGCAGCAGCTTGGAGTCCAGTCTTCTTCAGCTCCTCCACTAACTCTGCCAGCAGGACGTTTTTCTCCAGGACAGGCCTCCGTCTGAAGGTCTTCCTGCACTGAGGGCAGCTGTAGAGTCTCTTACCGTTCTCTGCATCCCAGTGGCCTTTAATACACTCCAGACAGTAGCTGTGTCCACAGGAAGTAGTCACCGGAACCTTCAGCAGATCCAGACAGATGGGACAAGAAATGTTGTCTGAAGTCAGGTTAGATCCTCTCTGAGCCATGTTCTGGTCTGAGCAGCAGCTTTCAGTGAAGTGAGTCTGTATGAACCAGTTAGATCCAGTCAGCTCTCTGGTCACCTGTCAAGTTGTAAAAACACCGTCACTGTAAAACATTTTAATACTGTCGGATTTTTAAAAAACTATTTACTGCAACTTTACCAATTTTCCTTCTTTAGTTATTTTACAGATATTTTCTTTCACAGTTTTAAACATCACATTATTTCACTAAATTTTAATGTTTTTTTTTTCTGACACCTTTGCTGTCAGATTGTCACAGTTGTTTTGTCGTTGGATGTTTTTTACAGTGTGGTTCCACCCAGATTCAAAGGTCTCTGTCTCACCACTAAGAACCTTTGACCACAGATATACAGGGTCTATAAACATTATTCACTTTTATTGCTTTACAACACTGAATCAAAAACAGGATAATCAATATTCTTTGGCTTTTCGGACAAAGTGTCAAAGTGGACACAAATTTCTACAATTTAAAATGAAGTCATTGAAAATATAAAATACAAAATTAGTATTTATGCAAGATGAGTGAGGGAGGCCACCAAGACACCTATGACTCCTCTAAAGGAGTGACAAAAGCGAGCCTAGTGAGACTAGACCCATGATCCATAGGACCCACCATCCAGAGGGCCCACTACCCAGACATCCCTCCATTCAAAGGACTCACCATCCAGAGTACCCACCACCCAGACATCCCACTATTCAAAGGACCCACCACCCAGACAGCCCTCNCTCCCTGTAGGAGCAACAGAAATCTGAACTTGTGTGGAAGTCAGACCTCTATGGACGGTGTGAGGATGGCTGAGGGGCGTGGACGTGGATGTTCAGCAGTCCAGGTGACTTTTATTTACAGCAGCAGCGTCCGGTGCCAATGGGAAAAAATACTGTCCAAAACAAAAGTCAAAAAAAAAAAAAGATCCTACGACTTTCCCCAAAGATAGGAAACAAAACAGAAACATCTGAGTGAACTGTCCCTGCACTGACCGATCCCATCAGCTGTAGCATCAGAGAGGGCCCAAGGTCTGCTGCTGACTCCCTCCATCCAGGTGTCCACCTTGAAGCTCCGCCTTCTCTACAGGTCAGCTACTCCAGACAAAGTTCACTTATTTAATTCAAGTCATTTGCAAGCACATATGCAAATTCAACACATGATCAATCATAAAAGCATTAAATTCAGTTATATAATCCGTACAGGAAATGCTGCTCTGCATTTGGTGTCTCGTGTTAATGTGTGCTGATCGTCGGTTGTAGCTATCAGGTAGGAACCTTTCTGTCCAGGTCGGGTTTCCAACCAGACGGGAACAAATCAGTTTCTGACCGGCGAGCAACACGCTGAAATTTACCGCATGTCTAGATGTTGTTTGGAAACACATATTATAGAAGACTTGGATAACAAATAAAGACACTGTGAGCACCGTAAGGCAACATGAGTTTGACTTTAGTTCATTTGACATATGTAATATAACGCGTCAGTTAAGTTTTCCTGTTTGGATTCACTCAGTGGCTTAAAGCGTTGGCTTCGCCTCTACACAGCGCTTCACAAACGTATTGGACCACCAGCTGTGGTCACAGCGGCCCTAAACGAACAGCACGGGAGTTCATCTCTTATGTTTCCGTAAAGGTTAATGCACCAGTATCTAGAAGGTCTTTAACCTAAGTCCTAATTCTATGGGATTTTAAAAACTGGGAAAATACACTCAAAACTTTTAGATTTTCACAACAAACATGTTCATGGAAACACAATGAGATGAAAAAACAAACAAAACAAAACCATCCTTTCACATCAAATCATCTGATTCCACATCATTTACTGTTTTTAGGGGATTATACATGAATCATTACTGTTTCCTGTGATTTCACTGAAACCTGTTCAACAATCAATCCTTAATATTCAGAACGTTTCTTTCAAATAAATTTTTTTTTAATGCAGTCAAGCCTGATAAAAGAACAAATGACTGTTGATGTGGACGTTATTTACAATTTTCTTTCTTTACTGTTAACGTGAATGAAAACGTTCTTTCTGAGCTCTCAGTAGATCTTATCAGGAAGATAAATCTGTAGAAGAACAGTTAAATCAAGCCGTGGTGTTTTACAGTGTACAATGAGACTGAACCTGCTGGAAACTCAAACATCTGAACCAGCTGCTCTTTAAACACGTCAGTCTATTCAGCTTTAATGAACTCTAACGTGGATTCAGGATAATTAAGCCAAACTCCAGCATGTAGCGGCTGAGTGAACGAGGTCTGGACTCTGTGGAGGAGAGTCATGGTGTCAGAGACGCTGTAGAAGGACAGAACACCTGCTCTGTGGTCCAGGTAAACTCCTACTCTGGAGGAAGGACGACCTGAGACGGGAGTTTGAGTGTTCTTGTACCAAAATACACAACTGTTGGTGGAACAATCTAAAGACCAGGATTTGTCATTGAGTCCAAATAAACATTCAGTTATGCTTCCTGTTCTACTGATGTTCTTGTATGAAACTGCTACACCAACTCTTCCTCTCCACTCCACCTCCCAGTAACTACGTCCAGTCAGACTCTCTTTACTCAGAACCAGAACCCAGTCAGTGAATCTGTCTGGATGATCAGGATGAGGCTGAGGTTGATCCATAAATGTCACTTTTCTGTTCCCATCAGATAATAACAGATGTCTGTGTGCTGTGTTTGGATCCAGAGTGACTTCTTGTGAACATTTTAAGAACCCATCTCTGGTCGTTGGTTTTGGTTCTGACAGTAGAACATCCACGTCAGTGATGGCCAGTGAGATGTTTGTCCATGCGTCCCTCAGAACGTCCTGGAGTCCATCTCTGAGCTCTTCCACAGCTGCTGTCACGTCCTCAAAGTGTCTCCGAGGACGGATGCTGATGCTGGATGAGTGTGTGGACTCACTG